CGACCCAGGTAGGTGCCCTTGACAAGTAATCAGTGTGCAGGTTGAGGCTCTAACCACTGATCCACGTTGCCCAGAGCCCCCCTACTATATTGAAGTACAGCCCTCCAGGGAGAGGGATTTAGAGTTCTCTAATAGCATGCTGATCAAATATTCAGATGTGGACACAGAACCTAGGATAAACACCTTTATTACACGGGCTAAGATAGGAGGGAAGAGGACTTATTTGCCTTTCCGGGCCTTGATTTTCCTCAGATAGAACTCCAGCTCCTTGCCCTCAAGCACATAGCCATCTGCTCAGCCGCACTGGCCTGGTCTTGAAGCGATGCATGCAAGCAGCTCTCCTGTTGGAGCTCCCCCTCGAGAAGTCTGCTGATTTTGTTCTTTTTCCTTTCATCGTATTTCTTCTGAATTTTCTTTGATCGTTTTTTGTTCAAAATCTCTTCCTCTTCAGGGGTCAGCTTGGCCCCCTTCTTGCGGCCCAGGGGCAGTGCGTAGTGGGACTCGTACCACTGCCGGTACGGTGTGCTGTCAACCAGCACGATGCAGTTCTTCACTAGGGTCTTGGTGCGGACCAGCTCGTTGTTGGATGCGTTGTAGACAACATCAATAATCCTCGTTTTGCGCGTACAACCTGCTCGCAGGAGAAATTGAGAATCAAGCAGAGCCAACCAAAGGCCAACCGGCCTGGCCCCCCCACCCCCACCTTAACAGGGACCGAGGAGAAGCAAGGGAACTCGGCCTTTACCCAGCCACAGGGCACCAGCTCCCCTTCCACAGCCCATCACAGTCTCTAGATTCAGCCCCTCCGAGCCCACAGGCTGGCGAGAAAGCTCTCGTTACCACCGCCTTAGGATCTTTGCAGGAGAAACTCCAGTCCCTGGGTGGAGGCCCTGGACCTGCTGCTAAAGGCACTCACTGGAGCTCTTAGAACCACGTCTCGGAAGGAAGGCTGGCGCGAGTCCCCACCCACGCCCGCCGGCCTCACTCACACTCGGAGCCCCAGGAGAAGTTGCCCACGTCCAGCCTCAGGGCCCGGTACTTCTTGTTGCCGCCGCGCACGCGGACGGTGTGTATGCGGCGGGGTCCAATCTGGGAAACACGGGGAGAGACGGGCACTGGGTCAGGAAGGGCAGCAGGACGGAGGGGAAAGCGGGCCTGGCCGCGCGGAGGAACGGTCAGTGTAACTATGACGAGTCCCAGCATCGGCCAGTGGCACACAGCGGCCAAGACGGCCACGCCAGGCCTGAGGATCCTGTTTTCATCACTCGGTCACCTCCAAGAAGAAAACAAAGCTAGTGTCCACGCGACAAACACCGGGTTTCTAGCCAGCATGCGCGGAGCCCTATAATCCGCACACACAGCCCGTCTCCCTGCAACCTCTTTAGCTTTTACCCAACAGGGAGCACGACGGGGCCGCTCAGCCCAAACGTCACGGAGCCCAACCCGCGAGGCAACAGCCACGTGCAGGCCCGACCGCGGAGACGACCGCCCGGGCAGCGAAGCCCCGCACAAACCTTAGTGTTGGCGGCAGGGCGTCCCAGCTCATATTTCCGCTTCTTGTGGTAGGGCTTCCTCTTGCCCCCGGTCTTGCGGCGCTTGTGCCAGTTGTCCCGAGAGATACCTGTTTGGGGGTGCGGAAGCTTTGAACCACCGGCTCGCGGGGAGCCCTAGCCAACTCCAGACCCCGTGCAGGGCGGGCGGCACGCTCAGCTCTCCAAGGTTGGCTTCCCCACCGAGATCGGCGTTTCACAGCAGTCCTAGGCTGTCATCA